GGGGGGGGGGGTCCTGCATAGCGCAAATATGTCACACTTCTCTCTTCTAAAGGTTGTTCGTCCCGAACAGCCTAACTGTACATCCCCATTCCTTTTCTTTTTCTTCTCTGGTGTTCATCTTCGGGGCCTGTTACCGTAGCAGCGGAAGTTGCTCCGATGCTGTTACATCACCTCTGGAGGGGGGTGTCCTGCATAGCACAAATATGTCACAGGAATAAGGAATATTTCTACTATCTAATACTTTAATTATCTAACCAAAAACTATTTTTATTTCATAGAATTCATAATAATACGTCCTTTATTTTCTATGGTATTTCTGTTTAACAGAGGTGCTTATCGGCTCAAAGATATTATTTCATCTGCAAGTACAGAGTACATCAAGGAAGTAAATCAGCTGCAGACACTAATACAGCCGGATGATGGATGCACTATTCAATTCTCATCTGTAAGAATGCTTAAAAATACCAAAATACACATATATCAATTTTCTTTCAGGCTAGAAGGAAATGAATTATTAATTGCAGAGTAAAATCTCTCTAAAGCAGAACCTGACTTAAGTTGAAACCTATGTTGAGAACTTCTCTGATGCTGAGAGTAAAAGATATTCTGAAATTGCCTCTTATATACAGAAAATGTTTCCAGTAAGTAAAAAAAAAGTAAAGCTATCCCTGTACCAGGCCATAATGGCCCATAGGGTTGTGAGATGTTGAGGGTCCCACATTATCTAGACAATCAGCTCAAAGATGGCGGTAAGGTTGTCAGCTTTATGCGCTGGCTGCGCTTTACTCCCCAGGAAAATTATTTAATTAATTCCTGGTACTCATTTCTGTTAGAGGCTGAGTTAACCCCAGGGCCATAGTGAGGCTGGAAGGATTAGGTCAAATGAAAAAAATCCAATGACCTCATCGGGACTTGAACCCGCGACCTTCCGGATTGTAGCACAGCCCCTCAACCAACTACGCTACCACTAAAAACAAGATTTCAAAATAAAATAATCTGAATATATATATATATACACACACACACACACACACACACATGTAGTTCTATGCTGAAAGTGGGTATTACTGAATCAAAGTGCAGTTTCCATATGTAGCACTAAATTCTGTCATGTGATTTGAAGTCATACATACATAAATACAAGTAGCATGTGATATTTTATTGTCTATATACAAATATCTGTGTTAAACATATGTACAATGGAAAAATGTTGTGGTCCCTTAAATTTTTATTAGTAAAGTCTTACTGTACAAAGAAAATAGAAGTCATGAAATATACTTAGAGTGCAACAATAATTTCTTGTATATTGAACGTAAAATACTTGTTTCATTTCTCTTTACAGATTCTGTTCTGAATAATTTTTTGCTGAGATAAATATTTATCAATTTGCACTTGGGATGTGGCTAAAAATGGATGCATGTCCTTGTGTAACCTATCTGCTACAGTTTCTGATTTCAACCTGCACTGGAAATGGCTACCCTAGACCTTAATAATCTGTTTATTATACATGTACGAGTATATGTGTGTGTGTTCATCTGTGTACTGGTTGTCATATTTAGTTCAATTTATATAATATATTGTTCTTTGCATGCTTTAATCAAGGGTACAACTGGAAATCCTAAAGCTGTCCTACAGAGCCATCATGCTATGGTCAACGTTTCCTATTTCTTTACCAAGAATTTGGAGTTTGATACAATGGTATGTCTTCCTTTAGAATAACAAAAATATTCTAACTACATAGTGCAGGTTCTTCCTTGTGAAGGTAACAGTAATTCAGGCTCAGATGTTAAAGTGACTAGGTCATGGGCTGGATGACCGAGGATTCAGGGTTTGATTGCTGGCATGGGAAAGAGAATTTTCTCTTCTCCTTAAAAACTGGACTGGTCAACCTCCTATAAAATGGGTACCAGGAGATTATTCCCCTGTAGTAAAGCACCATGGGCATGAAGGTGATCACTCACCTCTGTCTAGTGCCGAGGTTAAGAATGGTGGAGCTATACTTCCACTTCTGCATGTGTCTTAATAACATGGTGCTTATTCAGTTAATTAATTCCTATGTCCTCAAAAGCCCCTTTTTGCTATGAACGGCAAATAAAAAAGAAACAACATATTTTATTTTTACTGTGAGGAATGCATGCAAAATTCGGTTAGGAATTCTGAAGGGGAGAGACCACTTGGGAAAGTGATGTATAGATGGGAGAATTCTATTAATATGGGCGTTAAAGAAATTGTAGAGAAAAGTGTGGACTTGATTCATTTGGTTTGGTACAGGTGCCAGAGTCTGACTGTCATGAACACACACCTATGGATTTCATAAAAGGCTGAGAATTTTTTGAGTGCCTCAGTGACGTATCAGCTCCTCAAGAAGGGTTCTTTTCTATTTTATCCATTGCCTTCAGAATTTACGGTCATGGTCTTTCAACCATCACTTCATTTCCTTTTCCACTTTAATAGTGTTAACCTATTAGATAATTATTTAATCAGTTTCTGGCAACTAAGTAACACAATGGATAACAAAGCTTTACATTTTTATACTTTATTTGCTTAAGATCTGTGCAATGTTAATTTTGTGTCATTTACAAATGAACCTTTACTTTACAGGATGGAAGATTTTGTGTTGTTACACAGTTCTGTCATGGTGTAGGCACCTATTTTGGCATTATTTGTAGTCTGCAGTTTGGTTACACTGTTATTTTGCCATCACCTATATTTGACGCTAAGAAATCTCTGGAAGCCATTATACGAGAGAGGTAGGACTTGTGTGAGAACTCATGATGAATCTTGAAGAGGGATATTAATTATGTAAACATTATTTATTGAAACAGATACAGGTGTTTGTAACCTAAGATTGTTATATCAATTTTTTTTTCAATTGACATGCCTGCTGGCAAACATTGATTTATACCAGCACATCTATCAAAAGTTGCATGTCTTCCAGTGTGTTTGTTTTCAGTTTTGAAGCTTTATTTGTCCTTCTTGGGAAAGAAACACCACTGCTTATACATATCTCTTAATTGGTTTTGCATGATCAACACTATTCACATCAGAATGACACACTGGTGTTGAAATGCATACAACAGCCACATTCAGTCAACTGGATGTTGGCCAATTACACATTTGTGTGTGCATGCACACAAACAATGAAAGGCATTTAATATAATAGTGAGCAGTCTCAATTTCAAGGTTACTTCTCTGAGACTGATTTAACATTATCCACAATCATATGAATGATCGATTTGCAAGGGAATTCAAGACAAAATTTCTGTATGCATTTTTGTTCCCCCATCTGAGTTAAATGTCCTGCCATTCCA